TGGATGGATGGATGGATGGATGGATGGATGGATGGATGGATGGATGGATGGATGGATGGATGGATGGATGGATGGATGGATGGTCAAAAACTAAAGTTTCATGGCTCCAACAGTTTCACTGCTGACATCCATTTTATTTTGTTTCAATTACCTCATACAGTGTTTAAGATGTAAATTACTGTAAACAGAGAACCTCACAGACTGCCTTATAATACCATGATAATTCAAAATTTCATTCACTTGATTTAAAAAAAAAAAGTAAACAAATTTTATTTTAATGACAGTATAAGGAAACATTTGGTGGGAGCTGCCAGCCAGAGACCTAATATCAGAGTTTCTATGGGGGATCTGCAGAGGATTTCTAGGAGTCTAGAGTTGTTAGCTGGAGTGGAATCTGATAGCTAATCAGAGATTCATTGGGAGCAAACACACTGTGAGTTTTCTCACAAAGAGGCATATGAAGCAGGTCAAGCTCAGAGGGCTTGGCATGCAGGGTCACAACTCAGGCATCAAACTATATTATTTTTATTGAATTAGTGAGTTTTAGGTACTTCAATAATAAAGAATAACCCTCTAAATAGGGTCTTTGTCCAAAAAGTCTTTAATGTTGAGAAGTAACTTGTTGGCTTGTAGTCCACTTACCAATTCATTTCTCTGAACAATATAATTTGGGCAAAACTTCTTGAAAACAAAAACCACACTTCCCTGTAGCAGGTTTCTGTCATTTAAATAATATACTATTTAAATGTAGCTGTATGACCAAAGCGTAACCGAGATATTATTATTCCGTGTTTTCTACTCCTAGTTTTCCTCATGATGCCGACTTTTCTTTGAATGCAATAAAATCGTCTTCCTGTTTTTTCTTCTTCCAATCTTTTCTCCCATTTTGCTCTAACCTTTTGCTTAATTACTGATTTAATTTCTGCTTTGCAAAATTGTACTATTGAATCAGTTTTACTGCTTTTAGAAGCTTATTTTGCATCATTATCAGTAATTTTGTTCCATTTTATTTGTATATGAGAAGTAATCCTTATAAAACAAACTAGTAATCTCATTGCTTGAATTCTGAACAACAACTGATGCATTTCTAATAAGAGATTAGACCTGCTGTCTGAATGCTTGTATTTGAATGAATATAATGATGAACTACAATCAGAGCAAATTAAACTTCTTAATAGAAGAATTTCTTCAATGCATTCTAATGTTTCTTAGTTCCCAAGATAGATCTTTTAAAGAAAGGAATTTTTCTGCCCCTTTTACAATGATTTACGGTAGATTTTTTCATTTTTTTTGTTTCTCTTGATCGGTACAGTTAATAACATAAGCCATAGATAGAATTAATAAATCCATTGTAATATCCAATCCAGATATGACTCTTTGGTTTTGCTCTAGCTTTGTACTTTGTGGAATCTGAACCTCTTTGGATTTATCGTTTTTTTCTGAACCTTCTTGGTTGCGTTTGCATAACTTTTGCTGTTTTAAGTTGTTGAATTTCTGCAGTTCTTTTCCTTGCTTCACAACCTCCCTGTGCAACATTACGCTCACCCACACAGTTACAACATTTTGCCCGGAAGAGCATCCCCTTTAAATTCCAAATGCACAGAGAAAGTTGACCACCCACTGTATTTAGCACTCGTTTCAGTCTATGAAGTTGACCTCCATGAAAACTATATTGGAGTTTTGGATATTATATTGGAGTATGTTTACTTACTTAAGCTTGAGGTTGTGCTACTCCTCTGGAACAGATGACAGGTCAGCAGGGTGTGCCTCATTCCGGGATGCTGGGCACAGCATGGACTGTAGAGCGGACTGTAAACATGAGGATTGTTATTGTGGCCACTTAAATCCCAGAATAATGAAATGGTAAGAAGTGGGAAAAACAAAAAACTTGATGGTTTCATGGTGGTTACCTAAAATGATTACTTGAAGAGGTTTGGTCTTGTGAGTAAACCTTGGGGGAGTGTTTCCATCTAGAAGGGTAACATTCGATGGGGTGGAAAGAGGTATGATTGCAATCCTTGCTTGAGTTACAAGAGGTCAATGTGATTTTGCTCTCATACCATACCATACCATACCATACCATACCATACCATACCATACCATACCATACCATACCATACCATACCATACCATACCATAGCAACTTTATTTATGAAGCACTTTATACACCGGACTAGACCAAAGTGCTGTACACAATCATAAAATACAATACAATTATAAAAAATAGAAAAGATCGAGTATAAAATACATACTAGTACCGTACATATTGAGTCAATGAGAACAGAGAGATTCAAACGATCATTGTCAAACTTAAAAGGAAGTATTAAATAACATGTTAATACTTCCCCTGTCTTTACTGGTGGACCCTGCCCTTTGGGCGAACAGGGCAGGTAGAAATATTGGGTTCAGGGGATCCCCTATACAGGAAAGTCTGGTTCCTCAAGAGCAGAGAGATAATCTTTTTTAAAGATTAATGTGAGGACAGAAAAGATGCTATTCTGCCCTCACTAAACGTATGTAGTGTGTAGTTTGGCAGATAGCGAACAGACTTGACATGAAGACAATGTTGAATGACTCTGTGTCATGTTTATTGCTTCAGCCAATAATAACTTGTAAAACTGCAAATAAACAGACATAAAAAACAGTCAGTATTTGCATCAAAAATTTAGTCATAAAACATAGCTTGTACATATTTGTAACAGAAAACAGCTGCTTCTAACATCAGGTTGAACAGACTCGCCACAAGGGGGCAGAGCTGCGCTACAAACAGAAAAATCTTCAGGAGAAAGCACAGATTCCACTTTAACAAACAACATGAAAAACTGGTCTGATCAGTTTCCTTTGAGAGAACAAGTTTAAACCCCTTGATGGAATTCCATGTACAGTAAATTACAGGCTAGGAAATTTTCAGGAACTTGATTTTAATTAAAACGTGCTGTGCATATGCTCTATTCTAGAGGATTGTGAAAATTGACCTCTAGAGTGTTTTCATTTGATGACTGACAGAGGTATGTTTAAGGGTTTAATTAGGATGAATGGCTTTTAAGAAGGGAAATAATGTTTTTTATCCATTAGATTTAAAATGTATCTTGATAGTTTTTTCCCCAAATAAGCAAAGTAGGCTACAAAATCAGCATTAAAGAAAGAGAGAGAGAGAGAGAGAGAGAGAGAGAGA